CGAGATTGGTGGCTCGGCTTACCGCTGGTCCCCGCGGCTGTCGGCTCGGGGAGTGGCGAGATACCGGCGGTCGCTGAGAGACGGCCAAAGCTATCCCGGACGTGTCAATTTGTAAAGCTAGTGTATTGCAGGGGAAACTGGTGCTGTGATGTAGATGTCGGGGCAAGGACCAGAGTGGGCCTGAGTACTATGAAGCCGTCCGGCCAGTGGTAGCAGTGGAAACATTCCGGGAGAAAATGGCAAATTCTCAGCGCCTTCGGGCAGGAGTACATGAAAGCATCCCATAAGCTCAGTCCTTGCGCCGTAGACAGGCGGAAAGTACCCAGGCGATGTCGACTGATGACACTTTCTTGCCTGGCCGAAGTTGCTCGACCTCAGGCTGGGCTACAGAACCGCGGCAAGCTGCTACCAAAAAATCAGCATCACACCGTTCTAAAGGACCCAAGCCCGCGCCACGTTCACTACTCGATGGGAATTCAGAACCAGGAACAAAATATCCTGTCGGCTGTCACTTCGGCTAATGTCCTGAATATCCAGAGCAGTCGTGACGGCAGACAACCCTGACGCCTTGGCGCACGCATCACAAAGGTTGCGGCTCACTCTAGCTGTCTGTCCGTGATGTTCTCGCGAACTCGCACTATTCTCCTCCTTTCCGCACACCCGAACACAGCATGAAATGCGGCAAGAAGACGGGCCCGCGTGTCGATCTGAACCCCCCGTCGTCGACCCCGTGATCCCACGCGGCCGACACCGCCCTGAGCTGTACGAGACTCGGAAGGGCGGCACTGCTCCCGTCGTCGCTGGCGACACGCGGCTCCGCAGCGCGGGGTTGATGCTCGCACCGGGCCCGACCCATCAGCTGAGTGGCGGAGCGTGGAGACGGCGCCCGACAGCCAGCAGCACCGGGTGCGGGGCGACCACCGCTCCCCGGGCCCCGGCGTCCATAAACCAGTCATAAAGCATGCACGTGACGCGCGACACGCGGCCGGGAGGCAGCCAGATGACTGGCGCGTGTCTTGGGTGCCGGCGACAGAGAAGGCGGTCGTTCGCTCTTGGTTTATTTTATACCCCCATCGGTGACATAGTGCTGCTATCTCAGCAGCAATGATTGTCGATTGTCGACCATTGTGGCACAGAAGCTTTGAGCTTTGCATAGGTCAGGAGTCATGATATGAATGGCATTTAAATTGGTCGCTCAGTCATAATTTGAAAGTCTCGGCATTGGTTTGTGTCAAGGGCGTAATTCGCAAAGAAGGTTGAGGCAAGGCGCCGAACGGTGAAAGTGGCTCAACCTGACCCCCAAAATACTCCAGCAAGCGGGTTTTGCCCACTTCCTTCTCGAAGTTGGAGTGCTCGAGCCCAAGTGGAGAGGAGGTGTGGGTTTTTCATTTTCCAACTGCATAGGAAACTACACCCCCGGTTGCCGCAAAACTTCAGTCATCCTCATCATCTACACCCCTAGTTCATGCTATTGGCCTGACGTACGCGGAAGAACCTAAAGCACGGCATCGTGGTTCAAGCCTCGAAAGTGGATAAAAAATTATCGTACGGATAACCTTGACCATCCGCTTCGGCCACTCGCCGTACTGTCGCCGTTTTCGTTCACTGCACTACTCTCCTCTAATCGAGATGTTGCGGACAAACACGAAGATATTCTCGTCCAGGAACGTATGCAGAAATTGCTGAAAGAGAGGGCTCGTTTCGAAGAGGGAATTAGGTATATTCACAATTTTCTGTGAAGGAAGCATGCAACGCGGCGATAACTTCCTCAGAAACATGCCAAATATGCTTCAAAAATTAAGAGCAGGACATGCGTGCCTTCCAACCACCTTGAACAGGTTCCTATTCGCTTTCAACGCAGCCCCGATGCCCTTGTTACCTTCGACCCGAAAAAGTAAAAATAGTTCTGCGCCTTATTTTTTCCAAGCAAATAATGTAGAATCCAGCAATTGGTTTGAGCAGCTCACCCATGTATAAGTGCATATATGTACGCACATATACGCACTTGCTTTGCTTCTTTGTTAACTTGTAGCGTGGGAATCACTTGACAAGAAGGCTGAGACGCTGTGAAATTAACTACCTGCAGAGGGAGCGCCCAACCTCTGAATGGAACATTCGGCGCCCCGCTACGCCCTGTGATGCTCGCATGCAAGCTACTGGTGCACGCACTGACACCATCTTTATTTGAATTGACATTTCCATGATCATGCTCCTGTTTGCTGCGATGGGGACAGTGACGTAGCCAAGGGAGAAACTTTTGGGGCCATGCACCCCAGGAGGCGACGTAGGCCCCCTAGAGCCGAATGTCCCAGTACTTTAGGCCGTTTAAAGGAAATGCTCCATATTTGGAGATATTGAAGCAAGCATCAGATGCAATGAAATAAGCTCACTACTACTACTGCGATACTTTTAGATGTAAAAGGCTGGTCGAGACAACACAATTTCTCTATCTAGTTAATATGTTTCTCAATACGTCCTTGTCTGTTTGCGTGATCGTTCGTTACACAACATTGATTGGAGGCTGATTGTTGGCCGTTTCATCTGCATGTCGTGCTCATGAGAGCCAGATATTAATGACTTGACAATTATATTTTTATTGTCCTTCATTGTCGCATGACCAATGAAATTACAGGCGACGATATTATGGCGTTATGGATGTCCGGGTGACCTTGAAATAGTCTGCACGAAAAAGTTTGCAAGAAATAGTCTGCGCATCTTCGCGGGCGTGTAGCTCAGAAAGTAGAGGGGTTAAGGTCTCAAGAATGACAGAGCTGTGATCTGCACCGAATGATCATCAGGATGGCCTTTCAGTTTAAAACCCTACATCAATGTGGAACACTCACTTTAAAACGCCCAAAGGACTTTTAAAACATAAAAAGAGGCCCCGAGGCATCAAAATAAGATTCCAAGCCCGAAAAGGTCATTCGAACAAAAAACATTACCCCATAGCCAAGAAGAGGAGGCCCCTTAGCTGTAAGCGCCCTCCTTCAAACACCGGTTGATCCCTCTAAAGGGCGGGACAGGCTGCTATTATTTGCCTTAGACAAGCTGGAAGCCGACTCGACTAGGCAGCCGTGGGGAATTCGAAAGCTGTTGAAAAAAACGTGCACATGTATCCAAACACTGACTTCGGAATGTATGAATCTACTCCGTCAACCATCTGACCGTGATTACAGATCCCCATCGGCGCTAAATATTGCATTTTCGTGCTTAATATTGTTGAAGGCGCTAAATCATGCATCACTGAGGGCACTTAGCAGAAAGCCAAAAAATCGGCGTGATGTGTACTCATTGAACTTCGCCGCCCCCCGTCGTAGAAAAATTCAGAAATAAAGAACGTACAGCTAGTGCGATTTTTCATGGTCATTGTTTCCAATATCTACGAATTCTACAGGCAGCAAGATGCTATCAAAGTGATTCCCAGTTACCCAGCTGAAATCAAGAGCTTAGCAACTTTCCAAAGACCAGGCAGACCTTGAAATATTTACCAATATCTTGAGAAATCAGCTTTGTTTTTGTGATGCTGGGATGGATATCAAAATTCATTTAATTATAAGTGAAAAGATGAGGAGCACATTTACCACCACACACGCAAATAAATAAATCCCGAGGCCCTGTTTTTATCATTAGCCATCAGCTGATCGCGAAATCGGCAAACCGCAGCTGACAGTGCCATCCCGGGAAAACCGCCAACCGACCCGAATCGCCGACCCGAAAACCGGCTCGTCGCAACCAGCAATGGTTTGTGAAACAACTTAACTGCAATAGTTGACCATTCTAGCCTGCTGCAAAACTGTTGTCCGCTTTGACGCATTATTGTATCAAATCGCCATTAGCTCAGCTGCAGAGCGCGTACGATGTTGTAACAGCCTGGAAGGAAAGCCAATCATAAATCAGGAGCACACCGCTTCGCGCAGCTAGATCCATCAGTCCGCCACATATCTTTTGTGCGCCATGAGCAACTTCAACCAACCTTTTCCTCCTATGATCCGGAGTTATGCCTGATTTCCGACTACCCGGCAACTTTGACTCTGGCCTATGACAGTCGCCGCTCTCTGCAGTCTCCGCTTGATAATTTATCCTGCTGTTGTCATGCCGTGTGAAGTTATGCGGCATCGGGTTGATAACATTTAGCTTAATTTCTTTATTATGGGTATGCAAGATTTCGTCACAAGGGGTTAGCCTAAACTTGTTCACTAAAAAAAAATGTTTTATCATCCCATAGGTGCACAACATTTATTTCATGGCGTATATCAATCTCATATGTGGTCAGTCTGTATCTCTGCCTCCATTTTTAATCATGTTATTTCTTAAATTTTAATTGGCCTGTGTTCACCATGTATTTAATCATTGCATGTTTAAAGTGGAATAAGGCGGACACGCAGCCATCTGTGCTCCCTCCCTTTTAATATAGTTCTGGTGATGAATTAAACGCGCATAGCTGCGGAGTACACGGCTGCCAATTCACATACATGAGTTTATTTTTAATAGCCTCGCGAGACGTCTTGAAAATACCTTTGTTGCATTTCACACAGACGAAAAAATCTAACGTTGATGCTGCAGCATGTAGCCAGAAAATAGTAAAGCCTCTTTCCAAGCAGTCCACTCCAAACCATGTTGAGTCGTAATTTCACGCTATATTACATGCATTCAAGGCTGGTTCCACCATTGACAAAGCACATACCCAATGATGCTGTTATGACGTCACAAGCACTACATCACTCACAAGCGCTGTACTGGGCGCCGTGCGCGTGCCTTGCGAACTGTTTTTACACCCCTGTAACGTCATGGGTTACGAATTGTTCGACTTGACTTAACTTGTTTCGTTTGGCAACTGGGAACGCTTTCCCAAGGGCCGCGTTCCCCAGCGCGGAGCGCGGCCCAGGTGCGCCGGAAGGTTCACAAATCCCTCGATAGATGTCGTCATCAGTTGCGTTCCCAGCAGACGGCGCTTCCAGCCCGCCCGCGGTCGCGCGCGCGGCCGCCAGTCGCCGGCTGGCATCTGGTGCGTGTGGTGGTGTGGCGCGTGTGCGTTCGAGACAGGACGCGTGTGACCCGGGCGACATCGCCGCGGGCACTGGCTGACCGGCGAGGTGGCATTGCGATCCAAGTGCGTGTGAAGTGAGACCACGCAGACGGCTCCGTATCCCGATCGTACACGTCAAACGCTGAGCATCGGCAACGAAAGACGCTTTGTTGACGGTCACCGCGTGGGACCGTCACTTCGGCCACAGCCGCCGCGTGCTGAGGCCGTAACTGCCGGTGGGCGCCACCCGGGCAAAACGGAAGTGACGTATTTCGGCATCCTCCGCCGACGAAGATTAGCGCGGAGTCGACCGATCGGAGAACCGCGCGGCCGGCATGCGGTTGTGAGGGGCCCCGAAGTGTGACCCTTGGGCCTCGCCCGAGCCGTGGACTGGAGGTCAGCCAGCGTGCGAGAGGGGCTGCCATGGACTCGAGGTCGGCGGGGGGCCGGCTATGGGCTGCCGCCGTGCTGCTGCTGGTGCTGGCGCTGCTGGACTCGACAGCAGGTGGGTGCAGGGCGGCCCCGCAGGGTCAAGAGACGTCGGCCCGGTGCGGCCGTGCCGCTGACGCCAGTAGCCGGCCTCAGAAGCGGCGAATGCTGTGGCAAACCCAACAGTTCCGCAGCGTTGAAACGGCGCTCGGGCGTGTCTCGTCGCCTTTCCAACTTCAGAAGAATTTAAGCCGAATATTCATGGTAGCGCTGTTGAGCGCACATGTGCCAAACCGGGAGCGGTACGGTTTGCATCCCTCTCACTTTTCGTGGACGTGTGGCAGCCCGTGGTGACGCATGGATAAGACTGACAAACGGGTATATTCCCTCCACTTTTTACCGACGCTCCTTCTGTCATAGGTGTGGGAATTGAGAGAAAATGAAAGGAACAGTGTCATACCCTCCCGCGCTTCTTGGGCGTGCCTCTTCAGGCCCGCAGAGGCCCGCTGCGTTGGCCCACGTGATGACTGAACGCCTCACGATTTGCTGGCGTCGTGGTGACGTTTATGACGATCTCACGAAGGCCATCCATTGTCTTCGGCACGTTTCGTGGGCCAATGAATGGCTGGTCTGTTGCACCGTCCCTCGCAGCTTGGCACTGCAAATTCAAATCACCTCGAGCAGCCCTGCAGAGCGCGAAACGTCGGTGGAGCCGGACTGAATTCGAGTTGATGCACAGCCATGTACCGTTATATTTACGTGTGCTTTCGCTGCTTACATAAACTCGCTCTGTGATTGCGTAGACCCGCCCCTAGGTGGGCGGCTAAAAATCACACACACGCGTACTTGAAAGCTAATCGCACTCTCCTCTTCGGTTATTTCCCCGTCGCAGTGCCAGCTTCCGACAAAACAATTTGTTGGGATATTGCAGGTGCAGACCATTCGCACTGGCTGCCCCGCGGGCTACAGTAACCAGTGGACCCGAATGGCGGCCGCAGTGAGGGACCAGCACTGCTCTGGGTCGTCGCAGGCGTGCGCGTGGACTCATTAGCTTCCGCGGCCGCGCATTTGCGAAACATTAGCATTCTGGGATGTTGATATAGTGGCTGACTGCGTCGTAACTCGATCAGACTCTAGTACATGTGACGGTGGGAGGCTTATGTTAACCCATAACTATTGGGCGAAGTATGTACGCTTTGGTTTTGTTTTTATGCAGCGCCTGGTTTAAACCAGTGCCGCGTTTTGTGACGCATTCGCCTCAGCCGACTGTCCGCCCAGTCTCACCTGCTCTCTGCACCCATGCTCCGTGCGCTCGACTCGGCCTCCTGTTTCCCACCATTGCTGACGGTCGACGTCGACTCCCCTTCCCCTCTAGCCCCCTCCCCTCTGGCCTGCACAAGTGCGCAATTTTCAGCCTGAGTATGGTGCATACCGTAGGGTCTTGCATTCCTTTCATGACTGCGCCAGCCACCAGCTGGCCAGCGTTGTGGCTCCCTCCGCGTTCCCGGTCCAATCGCCGTACAAACATCTGACACATTATTACAGGCCTATCGCCTACACGCATTCCGATTGCTTGCGTGTCTCACCGGGCCGCCCGGTGTGTAGCGAACGCTGTGCTCTGCAACGAAAACCCTTGTCCGTACCTGACCGGTTCGGCTTTTTCCTTCAATCCAACCGGTTTTGAGACAAAGGCCGGCTCGCTGGCCCGCCCCTAACTCCCTGACGCAATAATCAGGACGATTTCCGCCCGAGGAGTTCCAGCCGTCGGAACACGGGGCGCCTTCCGTGGGTCAAATTAACGCTCTAATCCTACCGTTGCGGCTGTCGGGCTTTGATTTGGCCCGCGGGGCCGCTTTTGCGAAGTTGTCGTCCGGCTTCCCGGTTTGTGCCGCTTCAGCGTCCTCCTGTGCAAAGTCGCGATGCAGCGGACCACACAGCCACGCCGCCTGTGCGCGCCGCCGTCGTCACGCCTGCCAGCTGCCGGTGTGGAATGATGGCTTTGCATTGATGCAAGGGTGGATGTCAAGTAGGTACTCCATTTCCCAAAGTGGGGAGTTTATGCTTTTTGATATTTTGCTCGTTTGCTGACGGATCCGCTTGTGAAACGGACTGAGCAGACTGTTACGTTCACTGGGGCGCAAAGCAGTAGCCCTGTGTGGCTGCAAGTTCTGAACAGCTCACGCTGACTGAAAGCCCGCCTAAGGCTGTATGCCGGCGTGTTTTTGTCGCTCCGGTCATAAATGGGAACAGTGTTTTAGCGCCGTTCCAGAGTAGCTTGTATTTCGTCGCGCTGTTTAACGAGCTCGCTCAGGGGATGGGGCTCAATAAAACGGGTAATAGATAATTTTATGATCAATTACGTTGCCTGGATATCTGGCGGACGTCGTTTTTACGCATGGATTGGGGCTGAGACGAAGACAAAGTTAAGGCAGCACACGGCTCTCCAGATATTGCGGCTGCTGTTGGGAGTGCCAAATGGTGCGGCAGCAAACAAAGGTTGTGGAGAGTGTTCAAAGAGATATTGTTAAATACAGCGCGGTATGTACCTAGTACATGCGATATTCAACACTGCAATACTCTTTTCAGTTCATGCCTAAAAGGAGATAAAAACCACGCGAAGACTCAGTCCGCACTCTTACATTTATGTTAACAAACGCATTGTGGCTGGTTGTCGAACCGCGCTGCGGGACAATCACAGGAAACAGCCGCCTCGGCCGCCTCGCTTTGCCGGTGTTGTCACTCAACGGCGGTTTTCCTCGAGCGAGGGTCGGTCGACTCTGGCCCGTCCTCTCCCCGGCGGCCGGCCGGGCTGGTCGTCATCTCGTGCCGCAGCTGGGGGCGCCGGCATTCCTCGCTCGCCGGCCGTGCATTGCATGCAGCGCCCGGCCGGGCGACGCCCCGCCTGCCGCCGTCCATGGGCCGGCGACTGTCGCCGCGCCGCATTCCCGGCCCGAAAAACTGGCCTTTATAATGAGTGGGTCCTATCTGGGCCTTTCATCTGCGCTTGCGGGGCGGCCTTGTTCGAGCGAGCCGCGGGTGCCATGGTGCGTCGCAGCGGAGCTGCAGAAGCACAGTGACGGACAGAGGCGTCTGGCTCTGCGGGTATCCTGGCGCTTCATCCTCGCCGTAGGCTGCCACCATAAGTCTCTCAGCAAAAAAACTTGCAACGGGAAATCTCTCGTCACGACTAGATGCTGTGAGTCATCGGTGCGTCATTTCCGGCCGCGGCCTTATTAGTCCCCTCAGCGGCCCCCTGCAACGCGACCGCCGGCTCGTGTCCGCATTCTGGCGGCTAGGGTGGACTGTCTATTGTCTCACAGCCCTTGTCCCCGTCTCCTGACCCGGCTTGGGTCGCATGTCGCCTGCACCCGACCAATGGGTCTGCCCGTTGTCTGTTGACCTCCATCTGCAGCCTCCTGAATCTCTGCCGCTCCCCGCCTTTTTACCTCGTCTCCAGTCTCCAGTCCTCTGACGGCGTCTGCTCTTAACTGGTCTCCTATCTCCTGTCTCCCGCCTGCGCTCTCCCCGTGCGCAGCGAAATCCCGTCCGTAGCCGGGCACCATGCAGTTAATTATGAAAGCGGCCGCTCGTCAACTTTGATGGCTCTCTCAGCCGCTGGAGGCTTGATCCGATGCTGCCGCCGCAGCCCATCGGGGACTCAGCGGGGAGGGGGTGGGGGAGGGGTGGGGAGGGAGGGGGAGGGGAGGGCCGTTGTCAGGTCATACCCCGTAGGTCCCGCGGCAGGCCGCGGCGGGGGCTGACCCGGGCCTGGCGCCGCCGCCGCCGCCGCCGCCGCCAGCCGGTCCACTGTGGGGTGGCCCGGGCCCGCCGCCGCCGCACAGCCGGTCGACTGTGGGGCTGACCCGGGCCCGCCGCCGCCGCACAGCCGGTCCACTGTGGGGCTTCGCGCCGCGTCACCTGACGCCCGTGTGACGTCACTGCGACAGCCGTTCACCTTGGCGGCCGACGGCGGCTGCAAATCGGCGATATTTGAGCGGGTGGGCGGCGCTGGTGCTGCACGGGACCTAGTTCTGGCGAGCCGGGCCGGGTCATGCCGCTCGGATGGAGCTGATCCCCGGTTTTGAGCGGCTTGGCTGGCGCTGGTTCTGACCAGGTGATCTGGAGTTGACTCCGACAGCCAGCTCTTCTCATGACCGTCGTTGCACCGAATAGCCCTTGCCATGTCCACGCCCTGTCCTGCCCCGTGTCCACGTTCTGTCCTGTTCCGTGCCCACATCCTGTCCTGTTCCGTGTCAACGTCCTGTCCTGCTCCGTTTTTACGTCCTATCCTTCCCCGTGTCCACGTCCTGTCGTGCTTCGCGTCCACGTCCTGTCCTGCTCTATGTCCACGTCCTGTCCTTCCCCGTGTCCACGTCCTGTCCTACTCCGCGTCCACGTGCTGCCTTTCCGTGTGTCCACACCTTGTCCTGCTCCGTGTCCACACCTTGTCCTGCTCCGTGTTTACGTCCTGTCCTGCTCCGTGTTTACGTCCTGTCCTGTTCCTTGTCCGTATCGTGTCCGCCTGTCTGCTCCGTCCGCCAGTCCTGTATGGCGCATGTCGAGTTGTTCCCGGGCGTGCTGGGACTGAGCCAGTCCCGGGCCGGTGACTGGGTGACTGACGGACACTTCCACTGGAGTGACCAACACTGAGCGAGGCACGTCGCAGCCAGGGTATGGGTGACGTCAGCACCGCAATCCGGGATCGGGGAGGGGCCGGGCTCTCCCCCGGAGCCGCGGCTGGACGGGGCGGGAATGGGCTGCCCGCTTCTGCCAGGGACGTATCCAGGCGTGGCGGTCGGGGGCACCGAGGGCGGAAGGGGTAGGAGAGCGAAAGCGGTGATGTTGTGAGTGTTCCAGTGCGCTGTGAAGGGGGCGTTTCTGTCGGCTGCGGACGTAGTGACAGGCCTGGTGCGTGCGCCGCATGGACGTAAGACGCCTATCGGCGAATCGACCGGCCCGCTTCCGAGCGCTCGTCGTCTTTGTTAATGGCTCGGACGTTCGTAATTGTCGTCTCGTCTCGTTGGATACATTTTACGAGCCTCTGTAAACATGCCTCCAGACCTCACCCGCTGTGGA